AAAAAAAAAAAAAAAGACCACCTGGAAGGACTTCCCTTCCCCACCTGCCAATCAGACCTGTAAGCCCCGCCTCTTCACTGTGTACCACCAATCAGGGATGTGGAGAAATTACAGGCGTCCGGGCTCATCCAGTTTTAAATGTGGATGGATACCCGTTGCAGCGGCAGTCCCGCGACTCTTCTCTACTGGCCACACCCTCTTCCCTCCAAACCAGGTTTTTCCAATGGGCCTGGTCCCTGCTGGGCTGCCATTCCTCCCCAACGCCACCCCCAGGCCTTGCTGAGGAACTGGTACCTGTTTCACTGCCACGGTCTTGGTCCCGGGGTCTGCGACCAGCTCCACTGAGGGTTGAGAGGGTGGAGTCAGAATGTGCATCGTTGTGCGACTGCCTTCCCCCCACTGGGGAGCATGGCCAGCTTCAGGCCACATGATGGGGACAATACAACCCATTCGGGAGGGGAAAGCAGTTTATTCCTAAACGGGACCCGCTGTCTCCTTTACAGGCAGTAGTCAGGTAAGAGGCCTCGGGGTCGCCTGGGACGCAGGCCCCCGCCTAGGGGCAGGGCGGGCATTTTTCCGTACAGAACTGGCTTCTCCTTAATGACGCGTGTGGCTAGAGGCAGGTCCTCGGCTTCGCCCGTCACCACCCAGCCCTGCTTAGCAACAGGTATTTTTCACCCTAGGATCGGCTCTCGCCTTGGCAAGGGTCGTGACCTGACTCAAACCTTCACGGTGGCCTGACAACTCGTCTCGGGATCGGCTCCCTCCCCTCCCCACTAAGGGGTCTGGCTAGTTCCAGATGGGACAGAGCATTTCTCTTCCTATGGTCCCCAGCAGGCACCTACCAACTTTAGGACTAGCTACACCACGCAATCCCGCCCGGTGGCCAAGCAGCTCCCTTACTGGACTGGCTGAACACCTTGCCCCAACACCGTGTTCCCGCTCCAGCAGCGGGCCACACCCCCTACTGCTCCGGCCCCGCCCACCTTGGTTTCTGGAACACTTCCGGTCCGTAACCTGGGTCAAGGGTCCCCGGCCCAGGACAAGGACTTGCCCGTCCGAGGGCAGGAAGATGGGGGGCGCGCCCCCAGGGGGACTCTCCAGCCACAGGCTGCCCTGGGCCTCCACCTCGGCCATCCCGGGCACCAGCCTAAGGGGAAGTAGGTAAACAGGCTTGAGTGGCGGGTCGTCCTCAAATTGCTACAGGAAGTCCCGCCTCCTCCCCCCCAGACCAGGAATTTCCCTTCTTCCGCTGAAGGCTCCGGAAATCCCACCCTCTCGCCGGCCGCCGGCTCGCGCCGTTTCCCAGGCGACGACGCCTCGCTCAGTCCCGCGGCGAGCCCGGACCCCAACGTTCCAGGGCAAAGGCCAAGAACCTCACGCGCACCCCCGGCTCGGCCCCACGCTCACCGTGCCCGACCGGGGCTCACTTGCCACTTGCGACCAGGGAATTCCTGCCCGAGGCTCTCTGCCCGCAACTCCGCCGGCTGCTTTCTCTGTTCCTCGGCGGACGGAAATGACTCGCCCTATGGAAGGGGGCAGGGCCTTGGCTCCTCCCACGACAGAAGCCCCGCCCCTCTCAGACCGGGGCTCCTTCGGTCCCTCGGCTGCTCTGACCTTCATCTCTCCTGCAGCAATGGGAGGCTCCGACCAGTAGGGGGGGAGGGTGGGTCCTCTGTTCACAGATTTTCCTCGTTCCACCTTCAATTCTTAACAAATTCATTTCCTTAGTTACAGAGGGAGAAACTTCTTTTCCATTTGATGATCGTCAGTCCAAGAAATCTCCACCCCCGACAGCAGCCCTGTCCCTCAATACTGCAGTTTTCTCTTTAAAGAGGATATAATCGTTTTCACTTCATGGGGTTCCTAGAATGATTAAAGGAGTTAGTAGATGTAAATAACTTTATAAAAGTATTTGGCTGTGGAGGGGGCGCCTGGGTGGCTCAGTCGTTAAGCGTCTGCCTTTGGCTCTGGGATCCAGCCCCGCATCGAGCTCCCTGCTCCCTGGGAAGCCTGCTTCTCCCACTGCCCCCTGCTTGTGTTCCCTCTCTCTCTGTGTCTCTCTCTGTCAAATAAGTAAATAAAATCTTAAAAAAATAAAGTATTTGGCTGGTAGCTCTCCCTGTAAGTCTTGTCTATTGCTAGCATTCCTTCGGTGGTGGTCTGATGGGAGAGTAAGATTCCAGGTTTACTTGACCCAACCCAGACTTCGCACCAGGTGCCATTTGTTCTCCAACCTTCAGCTCTTATATTAAGCGGAAAACTCCCGGCCTCAGCTGGACGTTCCTGGCTTTGCCGGGGACTATGTGGACTCAGAGCACTGATTCCTTAAAGACCATTCACATTCCAACTCATCCCCCAGAAGACTGGGGATCAATGGTCACACAGGACTGGAATACCCCCCTTCGTACCCCATGAATCTCTTTTCTTATTTGTAAAATGGGGACAATAATTCCAACTCCTATCTTTGCACTGAAAAATCAATGAGATGCTGCTCATTCAGCTTCAGAAAGTGTTGAATGAACACACTTTATACTCATTTGTCAGAAGTAAAACTCTTTAATCTCAGACCACCCCTCCCAACTCCCGATCCCCACCCACGACTCTCTCCCCCACACAAGGGCCGGAGAGCGAGGGCCCCTGCCCCCCACCTTGGGTGGACGAGGGCCCTTTAAGGCACCTGTGGGGGTGAGGGGAGAGGGGCGGGAGCTGGTGCCGTCCTGGCTGCAAGGACGGACTACGATTGGCAGGCTCTTGTGGGATGGAACCAATGAGAGGGTGTCAAGACGCAGGGACAGGATGGGGCCGTCCCTGGGAGGGGGCAGAGGGGCACGTAGTCAGGACTTGGTCAAAAACGACCCCAGTCCCTGTAGTGTAAAGAACGTAAATTTAAGGCCGCAGGCCAATCCTGGGCACAGAGGAAGGTTTGGCCACGCCCTCAGAAGGCTGGAGCCAATCAGGCGGGACAACCCAGGAAGGATGGGATGGCGACTCCCGGGTAATTGGTCAAGCCCTTTAGGTTCAAGCCAATCAAATGAAGGAGTTGTCCATTCTCTAGGCCGAACAGGCTTGCCACTACCCAATCCTGTGGCCTGGCTGTTCTCTTTCAACCAATGCCGCGCGAGCAAAGCCCTTGTCGCTAGGCAAAAAAACGACAGTTGACCCCCGTGAGGGCTTTAAACTAGCTACGCCCCGATCTGGGAGCGAGCCAATCCCTTAATCGAAAGAACCTGTCGCCGGGCAAAGAAAGCGGCGACAGACCCAATCGGGAAACGAGATAGGTCCCGCTCCTCAGCGCGTGAGGGGGTCGTGGGCTGGAAGGACGGCGGGAATTGGCAGGGAGGGGGCAATCCTGGGACCCCGGGGACCTGAGAGGCCGGTCCCGGGTCTGACTCGGATTGGCCCGCCCCGGCGGGCGGGGCAGGGGTGTAGTGTGGGGCGGGGCGGACGCTGGGCCGGGAAGCGCTCTCCCTGGGCCTCAGTATTTCCGCTTCAGCTTCTGGAAGTCGCTGGTGTTGAGCCGTGGCCGCGGCAGGTCCCCGAAGACCTGGGTGTCCTCGGCCTCCCGCAGCACCAGCGCGCGCATGCTCGCCGCGATGCGGTCCAGGTCCGGCGAAGAGGGCTGCGGGACCGGGGCGGGGTCAGCGCCCGCTGCGGCCCCGCCTCCTCTCCCTCCCCACCCCCGCCCCAGCACTTTTTGCCTACAGCCAGGAAGGCCCCTTACCCTGACTTGCTCCGTGTGGGATCCTTCGACCCAACTCAAACACCACCTCCTCCATGAAGCCTTCCTGCCCCTCTCCTCCTTCCCTTCTTGGCCTGACTCTATGCGCAAGAACAGCTATCTGTCCCACTGCCCTTCCAGTTCCTTCTTACACAGCGGAAGTGCTGCTTCTCTGCTGACCATCAAGGCTGTGTGCACCCAGAGGGTGTCATGTCTAAGGATTTGGCCTGGGCTTGGCACTGAGTCATGTAACAATCAGGCCTCTGCCACCGACTAGCTGTCAACAAGCAGTTCATCTCCAGAGGCTTCAGTCTCCCCTTTCAAACACGGGGCTGATGACGGAGTCTGAGACAATCAGCACAGTGATTTCTCAAGAACTGGGAACTACCATGTTGCCGGCGCTGTAGGGAAAGGATCCCTTTTCACATTGGCCTCCAGTCCCAGCAACTAGTGCGATCTCCCTTATGGCCTGACACCTTGAGCTGGGTCTGGCTTCCAGCAGAATGGGAGAGGCTCCGCCCTTTCAGAGACCAGCCCAGCACCCCCACCACTTGGGCCTCAAACGTTCACTGGGTTTCCCCCAGGGGCAACGCAGACAGAAGCTGCGGATGGATGCTGCCAACATGTGGCCACTGAGAGGCACCATAGGGAGGGGGACCGCGGGACCCCAGGGCATCCTCCCTTGCAGTCTGTAATTCCTTTCCAAAAGGAGGCTGGGTTCCAATCCCTGCTCTGCCTCTTCCAAGCTGAGGTCTCAGGGAAGTCACAGATAGTCCCTGTGCCTCAGGGAGGTTCAGTGCTGGGCGATGAAGAGCCACCCAGGGCAGCCCAGGAAGGCCACATGTAGGATTGTGTGGGAGAAACGGAGGAGGTGGGGGAGGGGCAAATTCCAGGAGGAGCCAGGAACATGCAGGGTGGGGAGAGAAGGTGATCTAACCCCTCTGAGCCTCAGTTTCCCCTTCTGGAGGGGATACCAAAACACCTGTGCCTTGCCTGGAGCAGGTATTCTATAAATAAAGCTGTTCCTAAAAACCCAGAAGAGACTTTCTCTGTAAGGCACTGGGGTACAATTTAAGGCTGCAGGAGTTAAACCTTTAGGGCTCTGGCCCCAAAACCTGCCTCATGAGTTGGAGGGCAAGATCAATCCTAGGAAATGTGGCTTCCATGCCTGAGGGCTTCCTGGAGGAAGTGGCTCTGAGTCCCTCCCTCCACCCTCCTCTCCTTCTCCCCTTTGCTCCTCACCGGCCCATTCTCCTCATCCGATGACCGTGCTTCTGTCCTCTTCTCCTTGAAGGCCCAGACGGGCACGGACACGGGCAGGGACTTAGCATACTGCTGTGTGGGCAGGGCTGAGGCTGGGGGCACTGAGTAGGCTGGGGGGCCAGCAGGGGTCTCCTCGCTCAGGCTGCCATCTGGGAGAGAGCGTGGACTTCAGCCTCCGTCCTTGCCTTTATCCCAGTATCCCCCAGGGGTGGGGACAGCCTGGGACACTTACCGTCTGTGCTCTCAGGGTCCGACTCACAGAAGGGGGGCAGGTCCTGGAGTGTGGCATCCTCGTCCATCACAAAGAGCCCTGTGGATGGTGTTAGTGGCCCGGGCCAGTTGGGTCCCTGCTGCTCTTCATGTGCTCTGGATTCCAGCCACCCCCACCGCCTCCCCACTCCTTGCATCGGCCAGGCCCTTGCAAGCCACAGGGCTTCTGGAATTATTCCCTCTGCCTCAAACACCCTTCCCCTAGTTATCTGCCTGGTTATCAGCACAAACAAATCCAGTTTTTGTCTGTTACACCCCCAGGTGAAAGCAACTGGCTGGATGAACATGAAATCAGCAAGATCTGTTTGCGATGAAAGACTCAAAATACAGACTGAGCGAATATGAGGCGATTATGATCCCTGTTTGATAAATGGGGACCACGAGGCACAGAGAAGTTAAATCACTTGCCCAAAGTTTCCCAGTTAATAACCATGTCACTAGGATTTGAACCTGGGCCACCTGGCTCCAGAGTCTGTGCCCTGAACCCTATGCGGGTTTTCTCCAGTGAAGAAGCAAGCGTTAGTAGTAACAACAAATGAGTAAGTCCTACTTATTGAGCCTGCCCTGCAAACTCCTAATCACTCTTCAAAGCCCTAATGTTATAGTCCAGTGTCTGAAGCATCCAACCTCTGGATTCCCCTCCAAGACAGCCAGTTGCTTTCCCCCCTGGCTTCCTTAAGCTGTTGCCTGCATCCCTGATTCTTCTGTAACATCTATCTTTGTTCTCACAAGCATGAGGTGCCCCAGATTTGGAAACAACTCCTGTTCTGCTCAAGCTCCCAGCTCAGGTCTCAACCCCATGGTCTCCACAGGGCACTGCCTCCCGTCAGGACTACCAATTTCTTGGCCAGATTGGGAGTCTCGCAAGGAAAGGGCCTGAGCGGGGCACCTGGGTGGCTCAGTAGGTTAAGTGTCTGCCTTGGACTCAGGTTGTTATCCTGGGGTGTTGGGATTGAGCCCCACTTCGGGCTCCCTGCTGAGCAGGGAGCCCGCTTCTCCCTCTCCCGCTCCCCCTACTTGTGCTCCCTCTCTCTCTCTCTGTCAAATAAATAAATAAATTCTTAAAAAAAGAAAAGGGCCTGAGCTGCTTTGTGTCTGTGTCTGGCACCTCCCAGCACAGAGCTGGGCCCAGGTTAACATGTAAGGATACAGGCTCAGAGAGGGGCCGTGACCGCTTCAAAGTCACACAGGGAGGCACAGGCAAACCAGCCTGCCCCCAGGTTCTTTGAGATTGCGGCTGCCACAAAACACCAGGGCTCAGAGACGGGCAAGTCCCACCTCTCCAGGAAAACCGACCTTGGAGACAAATTGCCAAGCCAAGAGCCTCCCCAGCCCCTGCCTCTCTCACCTCCATTATCGCTGACACCCAGCCGCTCCCCAGAGGTCTCAGTCTCTGTTGGCTCGTCCTCATCTTCCTCGTCCTCCTCCCTGGGCAGGGTAGGCCGAGGTGGGCTCCGCGCAGGGCTGGGTGGCTGTGGTGCTGGTGGGGGCACGGGGGGGCGGGCGGCGGCAGCAGCCCTGTGGGCCAGGGCGATGTCGTGGAGGCAGCGGCGGGCAGCCTCGGCCAGGGCCCCACGGCCGTGGGCTGCATAGGCACAGGGGCCCGGGCGGGGGGCGGGGGGCGGTGCGGCAGTCAGCAGCACCAGCTCCGTGCCTGTCCGGGCCCGGAAGCGCTCAGCGGCCCCCACCACCGCCTCCCACAGCTCCTCGGGGCGCCCCGACGCCATCCACGCCCTGCAGGGCAGAGCAGGACAGAGAGCTGAGGCCCCGCGGACTGACTGCACGGGCTAAACCTGGCCCCCAGGCGTCCACCTGCCCGTAGACGCCACTCCCATCCCTCCTGGCCACCTTGTCCCAGCTGAGCTCAGCCCCTTCCCCTAAATTCCTCCCCATCCGGACCTCTTGGCCCCGTCCCCAACCCTCCGGCCCCATCCTTCCTGTTCCACCTTGTCCCAACAGCCCCGGTCCCTCCTCTTGGCCCTGCCTTGTCCAATATGGGAACCACCAGCCGCATGTGACTAAGGAGCACGTGAGATGTGGCGGGTCCAAGGTGAGAGGTGCCGTGAGTATGAAATCCGCACTGGTGTTTGAGGACTTAGTACAAAGAAGTTGGATGTCAGAGGTCTCCCTAGCAGTCTGTTGACTACGCATCGAAGAAATGACATTTCAGATATAATGGCTAAATAAAATATATGGCGGAAATGAATTTCATCTGTTTTCCTTTTACTTTTTTAATGTGGCTTCTAGGAGATTTGAAATGATTTGCATGGCCAGCATTCTTTTTCTGCTGGACCATCATTCCTGCCTCTTCCTGAACCTCTTAGCCTCCAGTTTGGGCAGTGCGCTGCCCCTTGGGGATCCTTCTACACTGCACCCGACCCTGCCCCTCCCTAGTATCCCCAGGACAAGGTCATGGCCCCTCAGCCTCACAGTCTTCCAAACTTCTGAGGCCTGAGGCCTTCAGTCAAGATCACGTGTCATCTAGTTACTTGTCAATCTTTCTCTCACCCTCGTGTGGAAGGAGCTTTTCCTCACCCCAGATCGGGTCAGTCCCCCCTCTTCGGACTCCAACAATGTCTGAGAATCCCCCCATTCTAGCACAGGGCTCTCTGGGGAGGACTGTCTGGATCCATCTCTGTCTCCCCAGCCACTGCGGAGCCGCCTGAGGGTGAGCCTGTAGGATTCATCTCTGAGCCACCAGCCTTGCCCCGCAGGGTGGCAGGCAGAAAATGGGTACAAACTGTTCTCTGCGCCTGACTCCATCTATGAAGCTTTGTACTTCCTACAAGACTGTTCTGCCAGTTCCTCTGGAAGTCTTCCTTGAGCCTCCAGGATGGATCAGATGCCTTCCCTAGACCCACAATGCCCTGGGCTACCTCCATTATAGCTCACTGTCCCTTGAGCTTATGACAATTGTACCTCTGTCTGCCTCCTCCATCAAACTGTGAGCTCCCCAAGGTCAGGGATCTGTGCCCCAGGACAGGTTGGCCCTAAGCAGACAATCTGCTGGATGCATCTCCTCATGAGATGAAAAGAGCAAAGTGCTGGGGCGCCTGGCTGGCTCAATTGGAAGAGCATGCAACTCTTGATCTCAGGGTTGTGAGTTCGAGCCCCACACTGGGTGTAGAGATTACTTAAATAAATAAATAAACAAACTTAAAAAAGAGAGAGAGAAAAGAGCAAGGGGCAAGGGGGCTGGCTTCCTGCCATCTCAAACCTGCTGTGTGACCTTGGACCACTCACTGGCCCTCTCTGTGCCTCATTTTCTTCTTCCTGTAAACCAGAGTGGTTGAGCCAGGGCTGCTGGGAAGCCAAGGAGCCTCCTCACGGAGGTAGGGGGCACCCCGTCACTGGAGGAATTCAAGCAAGGCTCTAGTCCAGCCAGGGTCATGTGTAGCTTGATTTCAAATCGCCGGCCCTTTTCAACTCATAATCACATGAGCCAGTGTTTGCTGAGCACCGACTCCGTGTAGGGAGCCCACACCTGTCATTTCACCTCCTACCTGACCCACTAAGGTGGGAGCTGTTACCTCACAAACGAGACAAGCAAGGCTCATGGAGTACAAAGCCCATGCTGGAAGCCACATGCAGCAAGAGCACAACCATTCCTGACAGATTCCATAGCAAATTCACACTGCACTTCCCACAGGCCAGGCAAGGGATGCAAGCGGGTCATCACCATTTTCATCCCAACCTCTCCCCAACCCTATGAAGGAGGGACTGTTATTACCCCACTTCACAGTTGCAAACTGAGGGCCAGGGAGATTCAGTATTTTGATTAGGGTCATAGGGCTGGAGAGGAGAGCCTGTTCTTAATCCCAAATGCCATCTTGCCTTCCTTATCGGGAAAGGTTTATGTCCAGTTGGGGAAAGTGAGACTCAGAGAGCCTCAGGTGGTGGTCAGAAGGCCCAGAAGTTAAATGGGTCAAAGCAGGGCTGACTCTGCTGTCTGCCTGACTCCAAAATCCAACAGAACTGAGAGGTGCTCAGGGTCCCCCCTAGTTGATGTTGGAAACCAAGGCTCAGGGCAGGGAAATGACTGGCCCAAGGTCACACAGCCTGGCAGTGGTAGGCCTGGGGCTCTCACATCCCTGGGACATCAGGATTAAACTCTCTGGCCTAGATCTTAGAGTAGTTACAGGATTGAAAAGAGTGAAATGGGGTTGAGTGGGTGTGAGGGTCCCTCCACTGTAAGAAGAAGGCCTGGGCAAATAGGAGGAGGGCAACTCACACCTCTCTGCTAAGGCCTGGGGGCTCTCTGGAGTTAGTTCTCCAAAAGTAAAGTGGCCAAGACCAGGGGAGACTCCACCCTTTCAGCTGCTGGAGGAAGTCTTGTACCCTCTAAGGAGCTCAGAAATGAATGGAGGGTTCCCCAGCCCCCCAAATTGAGGATCTTAGAATTAGGGAGAGGTGAGACTTGTCCCCCATAGGAGGGGGAGGGGAGAGCTAAGGTAATTGGCCTCTTAGGATGAGATGAGCACGTGAACTGAAGAAAATCATTCTAGGAAGAGGTGAGGAAAGAGACAAAGTCCGCCAAGGAATGAGGGATGCTAGTGAAGCCCCCTTCCAACCACCTGTCAAACTAGCAGTGCCCCTCCCCCAGCCCCAAAGTGGGAGAAACTCGAGGATGCCCCTCCACCCCACACCCCGCATAGCCAGGGTAAAGATGAACGTCTGGGCATTTCCTCAACCTCTCAGAGACCTCCTTCCCACCTCGCCCGGGGGTCCAGGGAAGACCCACTTCTCTAGGAAGAAAACAGGAAATCCCGCCCAGGTGGGGGTCAGGACCGGAAGTCCCGCCTTTGGACGGGTGAGGGGTGCCCCGAGTCCCCCCGAGCAACCCCCAGACCCCGTGGACATGGTCCACGACCAAGGCAAGGATCCTAGTGGGTCTGGAGACCGGAGGATAAGGCTGTCTAGGTTTTGCCTTGGGTCAGACACGACGGTTCCCGCGGGCGACCCCTTTCCAGCGCTCAGAGTAGGGTCGCTGGAAGATCTCTGTCCTCTGATCTACGCAGGCCATACCCCTCCCGCGAGCTACTCGCCCTCCCAGGGCCCCTCTCCTCCGGACGGCCAAATCCTCCCCACACCGCGGTTCACAACGCCGCCTCCACTCACGTGCCCGTAGCCAGCATGGCCGGCCCGGCGCCGTCACCGCCCTCAAAAGACATGGCGGCGCCTTGCGTCACTTCCGCGTGGTTGGCCCTCCTCCGTTCTGCACACTCCGCCTCCCTTATCCGGGCCGCCCGAGACCAAAATGGCCACGGGAACATCACCGGCTCACAGTGGGGCAATGATGACGGCATGGTGCCCGTAAGAAAGATGGTGAAAGAAAGGCTTCAGCTTGCTCGGAAACAAGCCAGAACCATTTCGATTTGTTCCCAAGAAATACGGCCATCGGAATGTGCACTCTCAGGACCACAGTAAACTGTGGCCAGCGACCTGACGCCCCTCACCCATCGTCGACCTTTTCCATAGAAGTGGAGGAAAGCAGTGCCCATTAACGACATGGCAACCAGCTGGCATCACTTGCCCAAAATGTATATGGACTCTCCCTCCAGCCTATCCCCCTTCAGCACCAAGGGTGGGAAAGATTCAATATGGCAACTTTTTTGCTTCGGTTTGCCAGGCTTCAATATGGCGGCCCAGACCGCCGCCTCCCGACGGTGACTCAGGAATTCGACTGGGTCCGCTTCGTTCCCGGGGATACTGACGGCTTCATCCCGTTAACCCAAGTCTCTCAGCACCTTTTGTGACGTACACCTCCTCTCACCTTCCTTCCCTTTACCCGTTTCTTTTCCAGGACCTCGCTGTCGCGCCCCTCAAAGAGATGGGACTGCCCCGCATTAACATGGCCGCAGCTGACAGGCTTTGGCAGTGCCCTCGAGCAAAATGGCATCTCCTTGGCTTCGATGCCAGTATACAATATGGAGAAAGAAGTAGGCGTTTCGGCGAGAGCTCGGGCGAGGGGGTGGAGCCCTTGGACCCTCCCCCTTGTTTACTGCGTGGTCAGGGGAGCAGCACTGCGCTTGCGCACTCTCGCTGGCCTGCTCCACCTTCGCCATATGCGACATGTGACTTACATCCTCGTGGTTCAAGTTCAACCACCCCATCTGAAAGATGGTTACATCCACTCCCGTTCTAGAACAGGCAAGGGCGCTACCACTGTCCAGGCTTGAGGGGAGTCTCCTATCCGGATGTGACAGCACGATGACCCGGAAAGGGAGAGGGCCGGGGGAGTGGGACCTCGGCCGCGGCTATGGAAGGAGCCGGTTACAGGGTAAGCGCTGAAAACGCGTTCTTTCCTTTCTGTGGATGCGAAGCGACGCCCTTCGGTAGTCTGCTTCGCCCCAACGCCCCGCCGGGGCTCTGGGAGCCCGGCTGAACCTTAGCAAACATACCGTTCTTTTATAAATGCGCTGTCACCCTCCTCCACTGCCCTAGGGAAGACCCTTTAGCCCCGCCCCCTGGGCGGCTGGGACGCTCCTCTGGGCCCCGCCCCCTGGGTGTCTTCCTGCGCTTGGGTCCCGCCCCTCACCGTTCCTGTCCCCAGGTGGTGTTTGAGAAGGGTGGCGTGTACCTGCACACCAGCGCTAAGAAGCACCAAGACCCGGACTCACTCATCGCTGGCGTCATCCGCGTTGTGGAGAAGGTGAGCCGGGAGGGAGCAGGGCTCGGGCAGGCCCAGAGCGGGATGGAGGCAGCATCTGTAGGCTATAATCTGGAGATCACGATGGGACGGTAGGAAGGCAGAGGGTGCGGACTGGAGCGAGAGAGGGGGCTTTGTGAGCCTGAGGGTCCAGACGGGGAAGAAGTTTGGAAATACGGCTTGGGGAAACTGGAGGGGAGGGGTCTTTCTAATCCCTCTTTTCTTTCCTCAGGACAGTGATGTCCTCCTGCAATGGGTTCCTGTAGAGGACGCTGGAGATTCCACCCAAATTCTCTTCTCCAAGAAGGTAGGCTTTCCTCCCTTCTCCTTTCTCCCCTTGTTTTTTTCCAGGTTTGAGCAGTGGAAGACATTTGAAGGACCTGGGTGCAATCTCAGACTTACTCTTGGGGCATGTGTGATCCTGGTTGGGATCTAGGCTCTCTTTGCTCCTTGGTTTCCTTCTCTCTGTGAAATGGGGCTGAAGATGCCCATTCAAAAGAAAGAAGACACCGAGAGATTCATAACCATGGGGACAGCGGCCCCCTCATCCCCTTTTCTCTTTGGGAGAGCCCTGCGAGGGTGCAAGAGGACAACACAGACCATGGATTCAGGTTCCACGGGCTCTCAGTCTGCACGAACTTGAAGGGGTATGGCATTCCCCTGGGGGCAGAAAGTACACTTTCTGGTATTCCTTTCTACTTTGGGTACCAGGCCCTGTGCTGGGACCTGGAGATGAGTCTGACCCTGCCTCAGTCTTCACCCCCATTCGATTTTGGGAAACTGAGGCACAATGATTGGAAGCCCCTTTTGCAAGGTCAGAAAGCTAGAAGGTGTTGGAACTTGAGTTTGAACCCAGACTCTCTGGCTCCAGGGGCCTGCCCCTTTCTGGAGGAAGCAGACATTTGCACTGAACTCGAAGGATGAGAAGGGGGCAAGAAAGTACTTCAGGGATGGCAGGAGGAAGATCGTTTCAGGATACAGGAGGAAATAGGATGTCTCTGGAGAGGGGTTTGCTGGGAAGGTGGTTGGGCGTGCAATGCCTGACTGAGAAGCTTGGACTGTGTTCTAGGGGCCCCCGGGGGAACCATGGGAGAAGGATGTGGGTGTGGAAAGCTCCCTTGGGAAACCATGCGGGAGATGGGCAGAAGGTCCGAATGGAGGGAGGTTGTAGGCTGGGAGGTGAGAGAGAAGATTAGAATGATGGGCCAGGGAGAGAGAAGGAAGCCTCACTTGGGGCAGTGGGGCTTTGAATAACCTGGTGGGGGTAACAAATGGAGATTCCAGAATTCTGTTGAGGAACCTGGCTTCCCAGGGTTGAGGAAGAAGCAGCCAGCATTCTGCATTTTTCGTCAGCCTCACAGGCCGGCCGAGTACCTTTCTTGAAAATGTGGCTGTCCTCCTTGGCACTCTATTTTTGACTAACAGAAACCCACTGAAACAGGCTTCAGCGGAAAGGGCACATACGCACGCAGGATACACTTAGCTCCAAGGAATGCAAAATTTGGCTGACAACAGGTTAAGCAGACAAATTTATTTCTCCCCTTTCACGAGACACTCAAAAGAGGTATGGGGCTGCTGGCCTTGGTTGGCAACATCAGGGCCTAGGTCCCTGAGACCCTCTTGTGTGTGCCCTGGTCGCCTTTAGATGACTCCTTCAGCTGCAACCCCTGCATCTTCCTTTTAAGGCAGGAAGACGGGGGCAGGCAGGGTGGCAGTCATACATCTGTTCTGCTCATCGGGAAAAGCAAGACATTTCCCAGAAACTCTGCATCAGCTAGGAGTTGTTTTTGGCCGTGTGAAATAGAAACAGAAGTGATAGAAACTCCTACCTTTCCCATCAAAAAGTCCAGAAGTCAGCCCACGGGTCCACGTGTCATCACCAACCGGCATCCTTCCATCTTTGCTCTGCCATCCCCGGCATGTGGCGGCCATCCTCATGGCTGCCTTGTGGTCCAAAAAGGCTGCTGGAGCTCCAGCTTTTTTGGACTGGTTTTGCTCACTGTATATGTGTGTTGCAGGTTGGCCAAGGAGCTCTGTTCATCGTGATTGCTCAGGGAAGCATGCTGCTAGAGCAGCTACTGTTCCTTGTGGCAGAGAGCAAGAGCCTGGCGATTAAACAGTCCATCCTGGAAGGGATGTGTCCCAGCCCCTTGGCCAGAACTAGTTGCATGACTCCAGCCAGCCAGTAGAGCTCAGTGATCTGCGATCCTGCTGCGTGCCCAAGAGGCAGAGGGTTGCAAACGCTGGCAGAAGGCAATAGTGGTTCTCCTTATGTAAACATTGGTGAAACAGCACATTCACCTCACAAGACACAGAGGACAGGGATGGCTTTGCCAGGGCTGGTTCAGCAGCCTCGTGGACAGGTGTCTCTGTGACTCCCTTCGTGGCCCTAGTTGGCTGCCAAAGCTACAGATACCACGTTCTCCCTCAGTAGCACCCAAAGACTGGCCTGAATAGGGTGGTGTTCACCCGTGGAGGTGCCTTTTTTATCAGGAATTTCCCTTTTAAACTCCTCACAGATGGCATCTCGGCTCCCACTGGCCAGAGTTGGGGCCCGAGGCCACTCGGAACCACAGGGAAGGCTGAGAAAGCAAATAGTGGGAGGTTTTAGCTTCTGTTGTGGGAGGGGCTCTGTCTGCCTGGAAGGAGCAGCAGAAATGGCTTTCGGGTAGACCCACCATCTGGGTCCTTCCAACAAGGGCCCCTCGTGCAGGGTTTTGTTGCGGGAGTCACGGAACATTCCGGTTACTTTCAGCAGGAAGGGATTAAAGGCAGACAAGTAGAGGCTTGGCGAGTTTGTACAAAGGCCAGCGGAACAAGACTGACCCTGCAGAACTGACCTGCCAGGGGAGCTGCCACCACCTCCAAAATGAGGACAGTGGGGAGACATCATCGTGGGACCTGTGGACACCCCAGAACACTACACCCGAGCTGCCACCCAAGGGCAGGAAGCCACTTGGCCCTCACCAAGCTAGTGACTGGGCGCTGGGAGACTGAGCCAGCCACCACCTCTACCCTAGTCACCTCTCTGTGTGTGGGAAAACAGGAGTCTCCAACGTCAGCCACGCAGCCCCGAGCGGCAGGAAGTTGCCCCTGCCTCTTTCCTGCTTTCTGCTGTCTTCCGTCATGTGTCCTGACCTATAGCTGCAAAGGAGTCTGGGAAATGTAGTTTTCGCCTTCCAGCCTCTGCCTGACAGGAAGGCACACGCTAGCCTGTGAAAGGGACTCCCAGCCTCTGCAGCACTCATGTACTTTGTCCCCTCCCTGTCCTTCCCCATGGCCTGTGGCCAGCACTATCGGCTGTGACTGCCCTGCTGTCTGCCTTGGTTTCCCTCTTTGTTCACTGGGGCTGCCTTCCAGGGCAGCCTCACAGCTCGGATCTGGAAACCCCCCGAATCTACAGCCCCTCACTCTCTGCTTTTCCTCTCTTCTCCCAAGGATGTCAGTGGGGGTGACTCCTGCACCTCTGAGGAGGAACCGACCTTTGACCCCGGCTATGAACCCGACTGGGCTGTCATCAGCACCGTGCGGCCACAGTCCCGCCATTCAGAGCCCACTAGAGGTAGGCTGAGCCGGTGCCCCTGAGGAGACGTGTCTTACCCTCAGTGGTCGTGGCTCCACAGGCTTTGCTGGCCACAGTCACGATGGCCGTCCATCGCTGGCCTCCAGTCTCAGGAGAGTGGATCGGGGTGCAGCACTGTCCCCAGCCCAGGTCCAGCCTGGCAGGGTCTCCAGGGTTCGCCGCCTTGCTCATCTCACCGGGCTCCTGGATTGGTTGTGGGCACCTCCACATGGTTCCTGCCTGTGAAGGTGTCCAGGCTGTGGGGGTGACCGTGCAGGGTGAGAGGGTGATTTGGGCTGTCCTAGAGTCCTACAGGGTGCTGGGGGCACTAGAGGAGGCATCCGGCCCGTCTGGGGTGTGGAGAAGCCCTCCAGGAGGAGGTGATGCCAGCCCCTGGCTCTGGGGGACACCTGGGAGTTTTCTCTCTCACGGAGAGACCAGCTGTGCAAGGCCAGAGGCACAGGGCCCTGAGTGTGTTTAGGACACTTGAGTGTGGGGTCTGGAGTGAAGAAAGGGCTGGAGATGAGATGCGCAGGGGGCAGGAGATAGACCTGAGGGGCCTGCCACCAGGTTGAGGAACATGGTCTTCACGCTGAGGGCCACAGGGAGCCAAGGGAGATTTTAGAGCAAGTCAGTTGTGTTTCCAAGGAGATGTGAGGAGACCCAGGG